ACGAGAGGAGAAAAATGCAATGTTGAGGGGTTTTTGGTTTGGTAAATGCTCTTGAGAGAGATAAGAAATTAAAAAAAGGAGTTACCACCTAGTATTAAGGAACTAGAAAATCCAAAAGTGACTAGTTTTCATCGAAATGTAGTTAAAAGGTTGGTTATAGGTAGAAAAAATCGAGATCACTACTACCATGTCCTACATGAGGTAGGTTATATTGGATGCATATTGAAAGTCAATGTATAGTCTTATCATGTTATGAGTCTATGTCTATTTGAATGTCCTTATCTTATTGAGATATGTCAATTGAGCAACGACGTAGCCAAAATTTCTTGTCGGTGATTTTAAGTGGCAAAATTTTTCTCGAATTAAACTCAAGAGTCAATGGTTCATAGAATAATTTTATTTATTTATTTATTTTATAACTAGTAGGTTCATAGAGTAATTTTTTTAATAAAGTAGTGTGTGTGTGTGTGTGTGTGTGTGTGTGTGTATTTGACACTTTTATAGAATTTCAATGGGGTCAATCGACCCCATTGAGTCTTCTTTTGCTATGCTCTTGCAATTGAGTACTTTGAGACCTAGGTCGGTGAAAGGCCTCTTTCCATATTCTAAAAGCAAAAGAAAAGATGTTTAAGGTGGTGAATCTCGAATGTTTATAAGCTCTATAAATCATAAGAAAAAATGATAAGTTCCTAAAAACTACAAGCCCATACATCCTAAAAATGGCAAATTTTTAATGATTGCAAGTCCATAAATAATAAAAATGGTGAGTCCCTAACAACTACAAGCCCAAGCACTAGTAGAAAATAACAATTCTCCGTAATCGTAACCTATAACTAATAAAAATGACAAGTCTCTAATGACTATAGCTTATGACTAATAAAAATGGTAAGTCTCCAACGAATGCATCACATAACATAAAATTAACGAGCCCCTAATGATCGTAACCTATAACATAAAATTGTTGTGCCCCTAAAGGTTGTAGCCCACAACACAAAATTAGCAAGCCTATAATGACTATAACTCATAACATAAAATTAGCAAGTCCTTAATGGTTACGACTCGTAAAACAAAATTGGATAATAAAGAAGGTGTTAACTTTTAGAATTAACCTCGATAAATTCATTAAATTCCTCACACATTGTGTTTAATTTTGTTAAGTCATATAAATAATACATCATGAAAATCACATTGTAGTAGTCACACAACAAAAGTATCTTGACATAAACGTGGTATTAAAACCAATCATATCAAACAAGCAAATAACATGCTTCATTGCACACACTAGGATCAATATTCATCCCGGATAATCAATTAAAATTAAAACTCATTCCCAATCCTTCCAACTCTATCATAGATCATTGATACCAATATTATTTCTCCTCTAAATACCTAAGGTGTCGGACCACTTTCGATTTCAAATATCACATTTAATTTATAAATATCACATCCATTCGAACATTCATTCATATGCTTTGGAATTTGAGTGAATGTAAGATCAATACGAGAGTATAAAAAGCTTTCATAATTATTCATAATGACTAACCTATCCGTTTTAGAGTTTCGAACCATCTTTTAATGCTAAAGGGTGGGGAAGAGATGACATAACCTTTTTCAACCCTATGATGAAGATAAACAATGTTGTTAATCAAAGAGGGATGATTAATATCAATAAATCAAGAATCTCTTTTCTTTCTTGCTTACTCTATCAAATATGGATTAAGGATTTAAAGAGTATTTTAGACCCAAGTCTACTAATCTTTGCTCAAAATCATCACCATTGCTATTTAATTAAAATTTAAACTTAGGGTTTTAAATGGTACTTTAAGCTTAATTGATTCGGGTTCGTATGGGTCTCGTTTAGTGAAGATTTTGGATTGAAAAAGAGGGTTAATATGAGGAGTTGTTGTGGTGGTAGCTTGAGACGTGTAAGAGCTAGCATGTTTGGAGGCTGGATAATGGTTGTTGTTATTGTCGAGTTTAAAAGTTGTTTAAGGCTGCTTAGAGTCTGGCAAGTGAGGGTCGTTTTTTAGGATGTTACTGCTAGCGGTAGTAAGGGTTGTTTTTGGCGACTAGAGCAACAATAGTTTGGATGTTTTAGGTAGTTGGAGTTGCCGACAGGAGGGGTCGTCTTGGTGCAACTGTTGGTGGTAAAGAGGAGTTGTCTTAGTGCGATGCATCGGCGACTATGGAGATTTTGGGTGTTAGGGTTGTGTTTTGAATGATGATGTGGAGATGGTAGGTGTAGAGTTTTAAATGGTGATAGCCATGGAGTTTTTGGAGAGAGTAGTTGCTTAATGGTTTTTTTTTTCCTTTCCCTTTAGGAGAGGGAGAAAAAAGAACTTTTTATAGTAGGGTTGTTCGAGTTTTGGGTAAAAACCCAATTTAGCCTTTATTTTCTCCTCTTTTCTTAATTCCAAACCTTATCTTTAAAAAAAAAAAAATTCTCTCGTACACACTTTCAATGATAATTTCTTTCAATTAAACCTCTAATTAAATTTTTCTTGGTTGTAATATCTTATATTTTTTAATTGGACCCAAATCTAAATTTTTTTTCCTTCTCTTTTTTTTTCTTTTTAAAATTCAAAATGGATGGGGTACGAATTTGGATGTTAATAGGTAGAAGGAATAATGTTTACTAATACATTATACAATGAGATCCTTTTTCTTTAGTGTTAATGCTTATACTATATTCTTGATTTCTTTTTTTCAAAGATCCCTCCATTCTTTGTTTTTTTCTCAAAAATTATTTCATTTTTTAAAAGATCTCTCTATTCTTTTTTGTTTTAATCTCATCCCTTAATATTTATTTTTTGTCATTATTATGTTCTTTCATTAATGTTTTGGACTATCAACATTAAATCTCATCGTTAAATTGACAAAATTGTGACATGTATTAATTAATTTTTAATAATTTTTTTTCATTTGATAAATAATAATAATAATAATAATTGATTAATTGATAGGTGTTACAATCATGTCAACCTAATGTCGATTTAACTCGTTAGCCTAAAATATTAACGAAAGGACATAACAATAACAAAAAAGCAAACGTTAAAGGATAAGACTAAGACAAAAAAAAAACAAAAAAATCTCTCTTAAACCATCTCAACCCAAAATCTTAAAATATTGATCCACTATTACTTTATATTTATTATTTAATTAGGAGAGAAAGTAAGATGGTGATATTTGAAATAATGACCATTTATTTATCAAAGTTTTGATTCCATGAAAAATTGAGAATTGCATGTTTGGCTTGTATTGCTAAGGGCCTTTATATATAATGATTACAAGTAATCAACATCCTACAATTAAGTTAATCAAATCAAGATCAGATAATCACCCTTCCAAGATAAGCTAATCAAATCAAGATTCTAGGAGATAATCTCTCCCACATGAGGAAAAGAAGAGTAGATGGATCTCCAAATGCATTAACTTTTTTTTCTTTATATGACAAACAACAATTATGTTAGAAAAAAATCACCCATCCTCGGACAAATTAGACACACATATAAAATAAAACTAACTAAAATTGCAAAAAGGTCTGCCAGTATAAATTAGTAACATAACAGAATACAAACCTTAATGAACAAATATTGAAGATGATTTTTGCTTTAATTTAAAAAGAGTGGAAAAGGCAAAAAAAAAAAAAAAAAAGGAGTGATATTTGTCACCTCTAAGTAGATGAATGACTTAACATGAGAATTAATTATTTGGTGGAAACTCAATCGAAATTGAGTGCTTGTTGGGGAATAGATACGCATTCTTTTTTCTTTTTTCTTTTTTTTTCCCTAAAAAGAAGAAATAATAGGAAGATGTTTAATAATTCCAAGAGCTAACTTAAGCTTGAAAATTTTCAATGATCAGGTAAATCCAGAAACTTGATCAGAGTATCATTTGAAAACATAGCTTTTCGTGAGTTTTGGTCATGCTATCTCCTCCATTGAACTTAATAAATAGTCTCAGATAAACATTTGATAAGTAGTAATTTGCTGATGCATACCCAAAAAAAACACAGAGTTTTCTTTTTCTAATTATTTAGCTACATGGCAGTTTTCTATGGAGATGGTCTTCATGGGTTTGGACTTTGAAATGGAGTTGGGCTTGGCAATGAGCTGATTAATGCAGAAGAAGGGTTTGTAGAGTTAATTCTATCCCCTTCGCTAAGCATAAATATTACTAACTTGGTATTAAAATAAACCTGCTTGTGGAGGATTAAATTTGGTTTCAGGAAGCTCCACCATAACTCGACCCTTTTTTTTTTTTTTTTTTTTTTAATAAATGAAAACTGGACCAATCAGTTCATGCTGATCTCCAAGATTTGAATGTGTGGAGTGAAGTTTTTTTTTTTTTTTGGCTTCAAAGCTTTCTCATATGCTACAACGAAGGCCTCTTTTTTTAGCTATACTTTGACATGGAATGAAAATTTGAGAGGGAAAAAAAAAGACACAAAAAAACAAAGAAAAGCTGACTAGATTTCAAAAGGACTTCGATTTACAAGACCATAGCTATTTTTATGTTCGCTGTCAAGACAATCTGCTTACTCCTGCAAGTTTTGCTGAAGTAATAAGGAATATTTTATCGTCGTACATATTGTTGTCATGATTACTTTACATTGACCTGAAGCTTATCCCGTCGCTGAAATTGAAAGTAAAAAAAGCTGCCTTGAGGCGAGAGCGCTAAAGTGTGGCACAAAACTCGCAAAAGAGAATAGCATGTCCTGTCTAAAATATCTGAACGAGTCTTGGAAAATTTTGGATAATGGGCCTCCAAACATAGAAAATTTAGGTGCTAAAAATGTCCAATTTATCTGTTGGTATAATTTTAGACATGGGGTTTCCTATATAAGCACTGATCTTCAGCTTTAGTGAATCAAGCTAGCGGCTGCAATGTTAAGCCCTTAATTTTAATTAATTCTTTATTTTTTATTCCTTTTATTCATATTCTTCAATTAATTCATGCCCAGAGAGGGCTTCTATTGAAAAGAAACCAATATATTGCTAATGAAGATGTCAGGTTCTCAGATTAAGATTCTTCTTATTGCGAGTTTAGCTTTGCTATGCTCATGCTCAGCAATAACTGTTGATTATGATTCCAATGCTGTTATAATCAATGGCGAACGGAAGATCATTATGGCAGGAGCAATTCACTATCCTCGTAGCACCCCTGAGGTTTTAGAAATATTATTCTTCTATTTTTTATTTTATTTTTTAAATAAAAAGCAAGGAAGCTAAAATGTTGTGCTCATTCTGCCTGTTATACAGATGTGGCCAGATCTAATGCAGAAGGCTAAGGATGGCGGCATTGATGCTATTGAAACTTATATATTCTGGGACCGCCATGAGCCTGTCCGCCGGCAGGTTTGAACTGCTCATGTGCACGTAGTGCTATATTTTTCAGCTCAAGCAATTTTATTCCCTAGTCTAATTCACATTCTCTGTTCTGTGGTGAGCCAGTATGATTTCTCCGGAAATAATGACATTGTCAAGTTCTTTAAGCTCGCTCAAGAAACTGGACTTTACGTCATTCTTCGGATTGGTCCATATGTTTGTGCTGAATGGTCATACGGGTATGTACCCTTTTTAATTCGGACAACTGCAAGTTTTAACGAAGACTAAGTCCATCTATCGCAAAGCTGATGATGTCTTATCTCTCCTTATCAGAGGCTTCCCCATGTGGCTACACAACATTCCAGGGATTGAACTGAGGACAGATAACGAGATTTACAAGGTTTCGATCAATTGAAAATATTCCATTTTTCTTCTCTGCTGAAGTGTTCCTTTTTTCATTTTCCTCATGTGGAGCTTTCTAATTTTACTTTAAATTCGTACAGAATGAGATGCAAATTTTTACCACCATGATCGTGGACATTTGCAAAGAAGCAAAGTTGTTTGCACCACAGGGAGGACCTATAATATTAGCACAGGTTTGGCCACATTTCCTCTCGTCATTTACATGAAGTAGCACTCACTTTGGTATGTTGACTTTTCTGTGGGGACTATATATATATATATATATATGTAACAGATTGAGAATGAATACGGAAACGTGATGGGACCTCATGGAGAAGCAGGGAAAAGGTACATCAATTGGTGTGCACAGATGGCAGCAGGACAGAACATTGGAGTTCCATGGATTATGTGCCAGCAGGGGGATGCTCCACAGCCCATGGTATTCAATTTGATTATTCTGTTTCCGTAGCATACACCAATTCATATTCTGAATCGGCATTAATTGAAAAATTCTGTTCTATGCTGGCCCTCAGATTAATACATGCAATGGATTTTACTGCGACCAATTCAAGCCAAACAATCCTAAGAGTCCCAAAATGTGGACCGAAAACTGGAGTGGATGGTAGGTTTTCTTCCTAAAGCTTATATCTTCCTTGTCAAACAGACACAATCTTAAATGAGGAAGCTTAAAACAGTAATGCTGTCCTTTCCTATCAGGTTCAAGCTTTGGGGTGGCAGAGATCCATATAGATCTCCTGAAGATTTGGCCTTTTCAGTGGCACGCTTTGTACAAGATGGAGGGGTCTTGAACAGCTATTATATGGTTAGTTTCATATCATATTGAATTAATTTGAAATTCTTCAATGACATAATTCTGTTCAATTTTTTCACACACATATGTTGATCGTTTCCTAAATTCAGTATCATGGAGGAACAAACTTTGGACGAACAGCAGGAGGTCCATACATTACAACATCATATGACTACAATGCTCCTCTGGATGAATATGGTAATTTTTTTTTTATTAGAATATGGTAATAATTTTAAAACAATGATGGAAGTTTCTCAACTTTAGAGATAATTAATGATGCTTTAAATTCATTAATGCATGCCAACATGATTATTAGCACTTTGAGATGACGATGTGCAAAAATGTTAACATGGAAGAATTCACTTTTGACTTGGGACAAGATGGAAAGTACACCGTGCCTGCTTGGTCAGTTAGTATTCTTCAAAATTGCAACAAGGAAATTTACAACACTGCAAAGGTCAATACCCAGACCTCAATAATGGTCAAGAAGCTACATGAGGAGGATAAACCAGTTCAACTCTCCTGGACGTAGGCAGCAGAACCCATGAAAGATGTACTCGACGGAAAGGGTAGATTTAGAGCCTCGGAGCTTCTTGAGCAGAAAGAAACAACTGTTGATTCTACTGACTATTTGTGGTACTTGACTAGGTAATTATAATCTCAACTACGAAAATTATTCAGCAACCATTCCTATCCTCTTGTCTTGTGGTGCATATTTTCAGGTCATGACACGGAACACTAATTATACTTTGATGCAGTGTTAACCTCAAAGACACAATACTGCAGAAGTGGACCAATGTGACCCTGCGAGTTGGCACAAGTGGACCAATGTGACCCTGCGAGTTGGCACTTCATGCTTACGTTAACAAGAAGGAGATAGGTAATTCCAATTTGGTAGACATGATTGAAATCTGTGGGACAATCAAAAATCACTGTCAATTTTATCCTAGTAGTTTTAATTAGCTAAACTTGCGTCTCCTCTGTGAATGAAATTCAGGAACCCAGTTTTCTAAGCAAGCCAACGGTCAACAATCAGTCCAGGGAGATGATTACAGTTTTCTGTTTGAGAAGTCACTTACTCTCACTTCTGGGACTAACACCATAAGCTTACTCAGTGCCACTGTTGGATTGGCTGTATGTTCTCTATTAATTTGTTCATCAATCAATCACATTTGTCATAATCTGGTATTTTTAACTATATTATTTTTTTCCGATATTAACATTTTCTCACCATTTTCAATTTTACCTCTTTTCATCTGGGCAGAATTATGGTGCACTTTTTGATAAGAAACCTGTTGGCATTGCTGAAGGCCCAGTCCAGTTGGTTGCAAATGGGAAGCCTGTTGTGGACTTGACATCGAACCAGTGGTCTTATAGGGCACGCCCTGCCAAAATTCTGCAGAAATTAACCATACTGGGTGTTTATACGAACTTATGATTAACCATTCATTCTTAATATGAAGGTTGGGTTGAACGGCGAGATTAAACGATACAGTGATCCAAATTCGCCATATGCCAACAAATTCAACGGCCGTGAAAACCTTCCCACTGGAAGAGCCATGACAGGGTACAAGGTATACATTCTAATCCCTGAAATCTTCTTGGTTATAACATTTAGTGAAATTTCTGTTCTAGTTATTAAGTTATCATAGTGTATGTGTCCAGACCACATTTGCCCGTCCTTCAGGTACTGAACCTGTAGTGGTGGACTTGCTAGGCATGGGCAAAGGCCATGCCTGGGTGAATGGACACAGCATCAGTCGCTTCTGGCCTACACAAATTGCAGATGCCAAAGGATGCTCGGACACATGTGACTACCGTGGAAATTATAATGGCGATAAATGTGTGACTAACTGCGGCAATCCTTCTCAAAGATGGTAAGCTTATCAAACATTCGTTGTAGTTAAAATTAATTAGGCCCAAATCATTCTCAGCTTCTAATTATGAAAATACCATAATTCTATCAGGTACCACATCCCAAGGTCATTCCTTAGTAAGGATGGCCAAAACTCCTTGGTTTTGTTTGAAGAAGTGGGTGGGAACCCTTCAAATGTGTCTTTCGAGATTGTTACAGTAGGGACTATGTGTGGAAATGCATATGAAGGAAGCACATTAGAATTGTCATGCCAAGGAGGCCGAACTATCTCAGACATTCAATTCGCCAGCTATGGAGACCCTGAGGGAACATGCGGAGCGTTCAAGAAGGGCTCTTTCTATGCCACTAGCAGTGCGTCAGTAGTGGAAAAGGTCGCAAAAACGTTAATATTCTTAGTTGCTAAAAATGATCATTTATCCTTGTCCAGACTCAAATTATGATCCTAAACTTGCAGGCATGTGCTGGGAAACAGAGCTGTGGAATTCTTGTATCAGATGAAACATTTGGTTTAAAGAAGCATTATGACATTCCCAGGAGGCTGGCGGTGCAGGCTGTCTGCACAGGGTACAATGAGAATGACGCCGAGCGAAAGAAGAATAGCAAAGGCATTGTATTTTTTTTTTTTTTTTCCGAGGCCTTTTATGTTGGGTTTTGGGTATCTCCTCATATGGTCCTCAATCACATGCATTAAATAAATAAATAAAAGTCTTTAAGCCTTTTAGGTCACTCTAGTTTGTCGCTGCTGCAGGTCCGTTTATAAAAAATATTTTAATTTTTTAGTTAATTCATGTTAAAACACAAATGTACTATAATTAAGTTTGATCAATGTTGACTTTTTAGCAATATTATGGTGTGGAAAAAATTTAATTAATCTATATATTAATTAACTCAATTTGATCATTTTATAAAATTCATTTCATGTATATTATACAAATAATGCTTATTATTAAGAATTTGTTATAAAATAATGAATATCCATGATTATTTCATATTTTCACTATACATGTGATTCAATTTATCATTCAATATAAAAAATTAAAAGGATGGTACAATTGATTCAATTATTTATGCATCTTTTAATAGTTCATAGTTCATTCAAATTCTCTTTCTAATCTTGAAGTCTATAAATAAGTTTTGATTGTTCATTAGTTTGAATAGAAGTGTTTTTGAGAGATTGAGAGAATTATTTGAAATTGTTATCTCTTATTTCATAGTGAAATTCATTCTTCTCTCATCTTTCTCTCTACTTTTATTATTGTTACTTTTTTCTTTTATAATACGTTATCGCACGAAACTCTAACCAACTCGAAATAATAAACTATAAGGTATGTATCTATCAAAAAACTCAATCATTTGTTTTAATCATTGGATTTTTTTTTCACAAGTGCTTTACCGAAAGATCTAAATTATCTAGATTATTAAAAGATATGTATTTAATTTATTCTTTACATTAAATATAATAATACATAGGGTATATATTTGAAAAAATTGAATGATTTAATATATAGAACATAATGATTTAATTAATGTTGTTTGAAAAGTTCAAATTTTATTATTATGTTTCCTAATATTATTATTATATCTTGCATTATACAAATTTTATCATATCAAACCTAAAAAAACTTATTTTTGTAGCCTTTGACATTTCAAGCAAGAATTCTTGATCATGGGTACTTGATGCTGAAAAAAATTATCTAGTTTTCATACCTCAAATATGTTATTGTAGTAGCAATATCGAGAAAAATGTTTTGAAAAATATTTTGAATTGATCATTTCATGCTTGTTTATGCTAAACGGAAAGCAAGCTATTTAATAAAAAATTATGAGTCCTACCCAACTAGGTCTACTACATCATCCGAAGTGAATGTGACAACTTATAATAATTTTAGACATGGACAAAATCATAAACATAACTACAATCGTGTCGGAATAGTTGTTGTTATAATCGTAATAACCATAATAATACACCTCACCACTAGAAATAGATAAAATATGAAAAAAAATAAAAAAAAATAAAAATAGATCAAATTAGCATTTTGAAAATGAATGTTATAGATGTGACATGAAGACATATTGATCTTGTACCTATCATAAGCCAATGCACCTCATTAAGCCTTATCGCCTCGTTAAAAAAAAAATATATATATATATATATATAGAGAGAGAGAGAGAGAGACCAATTTTACATATTAAGGACTAATCGGACTTATCATACTACTTATCTCATCTGTTTCGCCAATCGTATAAGATGGAGACAACTACCCAAAGGGTTTTCCGCATATATAGGGACTCGAACTCGAGATCACTTATTTAAACAATTGTATATAGTCTTTTCCACTGAAGCCTATTCAATCTTTATGTGAATTAATGATCTTGATATAATATGTAAAAATATTAAAATAATTATCTCATATAAAATGTATTACTTATTAGTTATTCATGATCCAAAAGGTATGTCCATCATTAGATCTAGTAGAGTTTCTTGGAACCGAGGAAACCATCGTGGGACATCCATAACTCGAGGCATTATTGACGGAGGCATAACCGGCAAGAGCACTATTGGAGGAAATGTAGACTTGCTGGCACCACCATCAAGTCTATGGCCCCAAACACTTGCACTAGCAATGCCACATCCACGTACAATGTCAATATCGGTCACATAATCGGCATCGAGCCATGACCACCGACACCGCGATCGGATCTACCAAATCCATGAGGCATAACTCAAGAATAACACTTAAAATAGTTTAACAAATGAATAACAATACAACTAAAAATATATTATAAATTATATAAAAGTTCAGCAGAGTCTCCCCGTAAATTATACATTTTTCAATTAACGGATATTCTAAATGATCACATAAGCATTAAAATTAAATCAATCAATAATCAATTTGGGCACACCATGATCAAAAATTTTCTTGGATACTCTATTACGAGTACTAAACCAATCTTACTTCTTTTCAATTTTTCGAGGTCTCCGACCCTTCGGGTTCAATATACTACGACGTATCTTAACACACTTCAAGAATTATATACGAAATAATTAAACTAATTAATTCTAATTCTAACCTAATAAAGTTTTAAAAAAAATAATAAATTAACAAGTTTTAGTATAAATAAAATTATAATTCAACTAATAAAACAAAATCTAATTAATTAATTAATTATAAATCAAATTAACTTAATTAATTCTAATTCTAACCCAATTAAGCTTAAAATAACAATAAATTAACAAGTTTTAACATAAATAAAATTATAATTCAACCAATTTTAACCAAATTAATTAATTAAATATGAATCAAATTCACTTAATTAATTCTAATTTTAACCAAATTAAATTTAAAATAATAATTAATTGAAATTTTTTAATATAAATCAAATTAACTTAATTAATTCTAACTCTAACCAAATTAAATTTAAAATAAAAATTAATTAAAATTTTATGATATAAAAACATTAAAATTAAATGAATTAAACAAAATTAACTAAGTTAATTCTAATTTAAAAAAATAATAAATTTAAAATAATAAATAATTAGTATTATCTAATTTAAATATTGTTAAAATTCAACCAATTGAACAAAATTAACCTAATTAATTAATTAATTATAAATCAAATTAACTTAATTAATTCTAATTCTAAGCAAATTAAATTTAAAGTAACAATTAATAAAATTAAAATTCAACCAATTAAACAACAATAGCATAATTAATTAACTAAACATAAATAAAATTAACTTAATTAATTAAAAATTAATTCTTATTAAATTTAAATAATAATTAATTGATAAATTTACCTAACAATTAACAACATTTCACAATTTAACAAATTAATCAATAAATTAACCTAACAATTAAAAAAATTAACATTTTAAAAAATAAATTAACAAAATAAAAATTAAATATATACAAAATTATAAATCAAATAATTAAAATTAAAATTAACCTAATAATTATAACAAATTACTAACCTCGTACATGTGGTATAATCGCTTCAATAAATATTTATTGCAAAAGGTTATAAAAATAACCATATTTATTCATGTATTTTTATAAAGAAATTCAAAACAAAGTTTGTAATAATTTTTATATATGTTGACGATTTAAATATTATTTGAACTCTTAAAGAGATTCAAAGTGTCATAAATTACTAAAAAGAGAATTTGATGTGAATACTTTAGAAAAACAAAATTTTTATCTTGACTTGCATTTCGAGTACTTAAAAAATAAGATTTTTATTTATCAATCAATTTTTATAGAAAAAGTTCCACAGTTGATTCTATATAAAACTCATCTATTGACTAGTTTAATGGTAGTTCATTTAATTGATATGCAAAAAAGACTCTTTCTCGACCTCGAGAAGATTATGAAAAACTACTTAGTCTTGAAATATTATATATTAGTACAATTGGTGCATTGATATATCTTGCTAATAATACTAGACTTGATATAGCATTTTTTTTTATATAAATTTGTTAGCAAGACATAATTCGCTCCAATACATAGACATTGAAATGAAATTAAATTAAACACTTCCCGCATTATCTTCAAGAAAAAATTGATATTATATTTATTTTACTCCAATAAACCAAAGACATGATTAATTGATTATGCGGATGCGAGTTATTTATCTAATCCATATAAAGTTTAATCACGGACGGGTTATTATTTACATATAGTGATACAACTATATCATAAAGTTTTATAAAGCAAAGTATAGCCGCTACATATCCAAACTATGCAGAAATGTCAATTCATGAGGTAAGTCGAGAATGTGTTTGGCTAAGATCAATGACCCATCATAATCAAAAGACATAGAGTTTATCTACCAACGAAGAAGTTCCAACAATATTATATGAAGATAATGTCGCTTGCATAATTCAATTAAAAGAAGAATACATCAAAGTGAAAATTCAATAGACTTACTCACTAAAACATTACTTACCATAACTTTTGAAAAAATGGTTCACAAGACCGAGATGAGTTGTCTTAAAGATCTTAAAATGATATTTTCAATAGAGGGATCCCAACATAGAGATTAATGTGTACGGGGAATATTATATTTTTTTTCTTTCACAAAGATTTTTTTTCACTAGTTCTTTTTTTCTAGGATCGGTTTTATTGAGGCATGTTCCTAGTACAATGGACATTCAAAAAAAGTATTATAAAATAATAACTATCCATGGCCATTTTATCTTTCTACTACTCATGTGATTCAATTCATCATTCAATATAAGAAATTGAAAAGGTGATGCAATTGATTCAATTATTTATATACCTTTTAATAGTTCATAATTTCTTTCAATTTCTTTCTAAACTTGAAATCTATAAATAGGCTTCATTATTCATTAGCTTGAGTATATGTGCTTTGTAGAAATTTAAAGAATTATTTGGAGTTATTATCTTTTGTATTCATTTTATTTTATAATAAATTCATTTTTCTATCATCTTTTTCTTCAATTCTACTCTTGTTATCATTTCTTTTATAACACTTATGTTATTATGGTAATTTTATTAATTGATTGAGCTACATTGATATTAATTACATCAATTCGGTAACTAAATTAGGAAAAAAAAAAGTTGTCATGGGTTAATGCTTATTGGAATCCTACATGGCAAAAACTATCCTAAGATGGTAAATAAGTTTAAAACAACCATATTTTGAAAGGAAAAAAAATACAAAATACCCTTCTAGTGAAAAAATATTTTTTTTTATAAATTTATTAGCAAGACATAGTTCTATTCCAATACAAAGGCATTGAAATGAAATTAAATTAAATTAAACACTTTCTCGCGTTTTGAGAAAAAGTTGATATGATATTTATTTTACTCCAATAAATCAAAGACATGATTAATTGGTTATGTAGATGTAGATTATTTATCTAATCCATACAAAGCTTGATCACGGACAGGTTATTAGTTATACATAGTGATACGGCTATATCATGACGTTTTATAAAACAAAATATAGTCGTTACATACTCAAACCATGTAGAAATACCAATTCATGAGACAAGTTGAAAAGATGTTTGGCTAAAATTAATGACCCATCATAACTAAGAGACATGCAGTTTATCTATCGAGCAAAGAAGTTATACAATAACGTATGACGATAACGTTGTCGGCAATTAATACATCAAAGTGAAAATTTGACAAACTTATTCACTAAGACATTACTTATCACAACTTTTGAGAAAACGGTTCGCAAGAATGAGTTGCGGTGTCTTAAAGATCTTAAATGATGTGTTCAATCGAGGGAGCCTAACATAGACATTAATGTGTACAAGGAATATTATACTCTTTTTCTTTTACTATGATTTTTTTCACCGGATTTTTTTTTAGTAAGGTTTTAACGAGGTATGTTCCTACTAGTACAATAGATATTTAAAGAAAAGTGTTATGAAATAATGATTGTCCATGATCATTTTATCTTTCTCTTACTCATGTGAATTAATTCACCATTCGGTATAAAAAATTGAAAGGGTGATGCAATTGATTCAATTATTTATGCACCTTTTAATGGTTTATAGTTCCTTCCAATTCTTTTTCTAATTTTGAAGCCTATAAATAGACTTGATTGTTCATTAACTTGAGTATACGTGTTTTGTAGAGATTTAAAGAATTTTTTGGAGTTGTTATATCTTGTATTCACTTTATTTTATAGTAAATTCATTTTTCTATCATTTTTCTCTTCAATTCTACTATTATTATCATTTCTTTTATAGCACTATGCTATTATGGTAATTTTATTAATTGATTGAGCTAAATTAATATTAATTGCATTAGTTTAGTAAATTAAATTAGGAAAAAAAAGTTGTAATGGATTAATGCTTATTGGAATCCTACATGGCAAAAACTATTCTAATACAGTAAATAAATTTAAAACAACCATATTTTGGAAAGAAAAAAAATACAAATAACCTTGTAGTGAAAAAAAGAAACTCCGATTTTATAGATCCATAGAAAGAAAATTTCCTTATTGGATAATAATTCTCCTTCTCCCTCTATTCGGAAAAAAAAATCCAACAACTCTTGATTTGTAAATTTTATTGCCAACGGCAATGTAAGTAATAAGTTTCTAAAAGCATGCACAAATGAACCCTTTGCCAACTTGAAAAGGAAACTCTATTTGGTCAATAATCTAAAGAGTAGCATTCCTACAACGACCTGAGACCTGAGATCCGGACTAAATGCAACTCCCAAATCTCTAGAAGTCTTTCCTTCAAAAATCAAAACTAGATAATCATATATCTAAAAATATGGATAAAGATGGGGTGACTGTACATAGAAAAAATTTAGAGGCCAGGTTGTCCCCGCATTGGACATGAACATTCCTATATAAGTCTGCATAGATATCTTTCGGCAAACCTATCTGAAGGGTTCAGTTTTTATGAGAATAAGCAAACATGCCGGTTTCCTGGATTGGGATTCTTCTCGTTGCTGGTTTAGCTTCGATAGGTTCATGCTCAGCAGCAGCTGTTGAATATGATGCTAACGCTGTCATCATCAATGGCCAACGCAAAATTATTCTCTCAGGATCAATACACTATCCTCGCAGCACTGTTGAGGTGACAATATATACATATATTTTTGAGCTAGGAAACATATTGCAGAAAATTAATTGAAGCATTATATACTTTTAAATATAGCATAAATATTATTCACTTAATTGAGTCTTGTCTACAGATGTGGTCAGATTTAATTCAGAAAGCAAAGGCAGGAGGAATTGATGCGATTGAAACATACATTTTTTGGAATGCACATGAACCTCGCCGTCGTGAGGTGAGAAACTCACCTGCAGGTTTTATCAGCCTAATGAGAGGCTGCCTTTGGCTTTCCCTTTTTCTTTGCCTAACCTTTAATTTATTTTAATTTCACACTTCTCTGATTTTGTCATGACAGTATAATTTCGCGGGCAACCTAGACTTCGTACAGTTTTTCCAGAAAGTGCAAGAAGCAGGGCTATATGGCATTCTCCGAATCGGTCCTTATGCCTGTGCTGAATGGAACTATGGGTAATAAATCTTTACCTTTCTTTATTTTCTTTTGAAGCTTTAATTTCTTCAATTTTGGATTTGTAACAGGATTTACTAAATTATTTATATCTTCTCCATTTTATCAGGGGCTTCCCTGTGTGGCTACACAATATTCCTGGAATCAAGTTCAGGACAGACAATGAGATTTTCAAGGTTTGAATTTATCACCCTTTTCAGTCTATCTAATGAACTCAATGTTACGTTATCACGAACGACCTGTATCCATTAGAGATCATCTTACTCAAAAATGACATAGGCCGCACTTACGGAAACTATATATAAGAATTTAGTTATATATCCATCATGGCCATGCCTATCTAATAATTTCTCAAAAAAGAAAAAAAGCTAATTAATACTGCGGCAGAATTCCATAAATATATCCTTGTTTTATTCTCATCGGTTTTGTTGTGCAACATTCATTGATTATGACAATAAGCAATCTCAACTTTACTCTTTTTGTACAGAATGAAATGCAGACTTTTACAACCAAGATTGTGAACATGGCTAAAGAAGCAAAGCTTTTTGCATCGCAGGGAGGGCCTGTAATTCTCGCACAGGTTTGCAGGCTTGCAGCCATCTTTTTGAATCCACAATTTCACGCATATTACTAGTAGCATTGCTTCTAATCTCACACCTCTACTTATTTGAATATATCAGATAGAGAACGAATATGGAAATGTTATGGGATCTTATGGAGAAGCAGGGAAATCATACGTTAAGTGGTGTGCACAAATGGCTGTAGCCCAAAATATTGGAGTACCTTGGATTATGTGCCAACAGAGCGATGCTCCATCACCCGTGGTATTTATTTCATCTTCATCTAATTAAATTATTCGTTCTCTCTTTCTCTTCTTCTTTTTCTTTCTCTGCATTGGGTTTTGAGTCATTGATCATTAGTATTTCATTTTCATTTATCCTGTAGCTATCTTAGATCACACTTGTTTTTTCTTTTTTCTTTTTTATATATTGTCTTATAGATTAACACATGCAATGGATTCTACTGTGATACATTTACGCCAAACAATCCAACAAGTCCAAAAATGTGGACTGAAAACTGGACGGGATGGTAAGCACATCTTTCTTTCCCTACAATTAGTTATCTGACTAATCACATCTAGTTTGAATCCTGATACACTCTTGCCTTGTATTGCCTTGTAGGTTCAAGAAGTGGGGCCAAAAAGATCCACACAGGACTGCTGAAGATTTAGCATTTGCAGTTGCACGCTTTTTCCAATACGGTGGAGTGTTGCAGAACTATTACATGGTGGAACTCTCCCCAATGGAATTTTGTGTACAGTTTTTCAAGCATGTGTTCTTCGATGCTTATTTTTATTTGTTTGTTTTAATGTCAGTATCATGGAGGAACCAACTTTGGACGCACGTCAGGTGGTCCATTCATCACAACATCTTATGACTATGACGCACCACTAGATGAATATGGTAATCACTGAACTAAATTAACCATTTACCTGCCTGCATCAATCTACTTGTCTGCTTTTCCATTAACTCTAAAGTTTAAAGAGAACGTCGATCCTTTCTTTATTAACCAATATCAAAAATTTTCAATCTACTCTTTCAGGAAATTTAAACCAGCCCAAGTGGGGCCACCTCAAGAACCTCCATGCAGCGCTTAAATTGGGGGAGAATGTTCTGACTAACAGCACAGTGAAATCAACAAAATATTCAGATGGGTGGGCTGAGGTAAGTGAAAAATTAAATAAGGTATCACTATGACAAATATGAAGTAAATATCAGTTGATACAAATTTGTGTTGTGCATCATCAGCTGACTACGTACACCAGCAACATTAATGGGGAGAGATTCTGTTTCTTGAGCAACACAAAAATGGATGATCTCGATGTTGACTTGCAACAAGATGGAAAGTACTTTGTGCCTGCTTGGTCTGTTAGTATTCTTCAAGGCTGTAACAAGGAAATTCACAGCACTGCAAAGGTAAAACCAAAGCTAGCGTTTCCTTTGTTGTTGTTGTTTTATCATTTCTCTTAGTTACTTCAAACATTAAGACATACTTAATAATTAAGAGCTGTTTAACTCTACAGGTTAACGTCCAAACTTCTTTGATTGTAAAGAAATTACATGAGAATGATAAACCTCAAAAACTCTCCTGGGTGTGGGCAGCAGAGCCAATCAAAACCCCTCTCCACGGACGAGGTAGATTTAAAGCTTCTCAGCTTATTGAACAAAAGGCGGCAACAAATGATGAAACTGACTACTTATGGTATATGACTAGGTAATGACTAATTTCTTATTATGCTTCGCTTTAATTACTATAGGGATGACTCCAAGAAAATATTTCACCCTCATTGTCATTCTATGCAATACAGAGTTGACAACAACAAGACAGCCTCGCAGAATATGACATTGCGTGTGAAGTATTCAGGGCAATTCCTTCATGCTTTTGTCAATGGGAAGGAGATAGGTAATATCTTTCTTAATCTAGATCAAGCTTTCGGATAATCATCAACATAGATATCGTCGTTGCATGGTCAAACTCAATAGTTTATGTTCGTCTGATTTGGCGAAATACATCAGGTTCCCAACATGATTACGGTTTCACATTCGAGAAGCCTGTTTTGCTGAAGCCCGGGACGAACGTTATTTCTTTGCTCAGTGTTACTGTTGGATTACAGGTACTATTTATACTTTTTAGGCACAAGGTCATATACTGAATAGAAAATTGTGCTTACTATTATATATAGTTCACATAGTTTATCAAGTTCAGCTTCCGCTGCCATTAGTGTCTTTAAATTCAATGAAGGAATTCTCACACAATTCCCTCTATTGTTTTTCCACGCAGAACTATGGTGAATTTTTTGATGAGGGACCTGAGGGCATAGCAGGAGGTCCCGTTGAGTTGGTCGACAGCAGCAACACCACCACTAATTTATCAACAAACGAGTGGAGTTACAAGGTATATTTAATGGAAGCTGCCACTAGGGTAGGGATTTTTTGCACGCTTATTATGATTGACCTAACCATCTATATTTATTTGGCCAAAGGTTGGATTGATTGGTGAGGGAAGAGGAAGACGATTCTACGATCCAACTTCGGGTCGTGCCAAATGGATCTCAGGTAAACTTCGCGTGGGGAGAGCCATGACCTGGTATAAGGTATACTTCTCAATCCTCGATAGAACATCGATCGTGCCAATGAAATGCCTTGTGATCAGTTGATATTAATAAAAAAATTAGCTGTGTTGAAAAATTATGTCAACCATTCTTGTCTCAGTTTCCATCGGACGTAATTTTGGTCTCTGATCGTTGTTTTAAATTGTGTCTTCGTCTAGACCACCTTCCAGGCTCCATCAGGAACGGAACCTGTGGTGGTGGACTTGCAAGGTATGGGCAAAGGTCATGCGTGGGTGAACGGGAATAGTCTTGGTCGCTTCTGGCCAACAGAGACCGCCGATCCCAACGGATGCGATGGCAAATGCGATTATCGTGGAAAATACAAGGATAGCAAATGCTTGTCAAATTGTGGCAATCCAACTCAGAGATGGTACTGTGTCCCAACTCCCAAGCTCATTCCAACTAATTACTCTCTCCTTAATCAGTAGTCTGTCACAAGATGGAGTGTTTAAAAGATGAGATTGTATCAGGTACCATGTCCCAAGATCATTCCTCAACAATGGCTCAAACACATTGATTTTGTTCGATGAGATCGGAGGAAACCCTTCAGATGTTTCTTTCCAGATTACTGCAACTGAAACAATATGTGGAAATGCATATGAAGGAAGCACATTAGAATTATCATGCAACAGTGAACAGCGAATCATCTCAGGTATCCAATACGCCAGCTTCGGAGACCCACAGGGAAGCTGTGGCTCATTCCAGAAAGGCAGCATCGAGGCCAGTAGCAGCTTGTCTGCAGTTGAAAAGGTGCTTCAAATTAAAACAGAAAATCTCGGTATCAAACAACATGATGATTCATTAGGTGTTTCGTTGTAAGAAATTTCCTTGTCTTGCAGGCGTGTATTGGAAAGGACAGTTGTTCGATAAACGTCTCAAAAACAACATTCGGAGTAAAAGACAGCTTCGGCGTCGATAATAACAGACTGGCTGTTCAAGCTGTATGCACAGGATACAATGAAAATGATGAAGAGAATCATACTCAAAAGAAGGAAAATTGAGCACCGCCCTCGGGTTTTGCTACCACACATTCTATACACACCACGAATACATGTCCTCAGAAACAGAGGAGATGTTCGTGATGTCTCTACTCGATTCGTCAGTTTCACACTGTATCTACTCTCTAGGTTCATTAAACTCGAGAACTGTCATCGACTGCACAAAAATTGACCATTGTGTAGTTTCAATTCCAACTTTTTAGCTCATCTTCCCTGCATTTTGAGATAGCACTTTCCATCTCATGTGTCCAGATGCCTAATGCTCTTCCAGTTCTTTCAGAGCCAATTTTCAGCCAACGCCGTTCTAATTGGGGGTGTATAACTATAGGAAATCATGATTTTTGGAGATTAAGAACTACCTAGGTACTAAAAATGTTGTGTTAACCTATTGCCCAAGATCCAACCAAACCAAAAATACAGATCCTTTTTTGAAGTATCCAGAGGTAGTTTTAAAATAAAGGTGTAAATAAAGATTGTATTCAAAAGAAAAAGGCATACATTTCAAACTTTAGAAAAGGCAGGCCAAAAAACATAAGAATCCTCTTCTCATGCTTAGAAAGATAAAGCTAGGCCAAAAAAAAAAAAAAACAACATTTGTCGAGTTAATTTAACAAGTAATCATCTTCTTACGCATAGAAAGATAATTATGTCACTAAATCACTATTACTATCATATCATTTTTTCTTTTTTCTTTTTTACATCAAAGAGAAAAAAGGAGGCACTAGATATATCAAACTCTAGTAACCAAAATTTCGTATCAATTTCCTTCCACCACAGCTCTCCTCAGAGTACAAACAAATAGTTTAAAAAAAAAAAGGCTACCATTAACAAACTTAAACTGTCCACACACCAGGTGTTTGATAATATGCCCCACTCAAAATTCCCTCCAAACTTTCTACCCCATTCCCTCGACCACCAAAATACCCCTCTGCACTCATCCTTGACTGCCCTTCAAACAAGGCAGTTTCCACAATCCTCTCTGCAGGATCCACCATATTCCCTCTTCTTGCATGCCTAAAAGCAACCTCCCTAATCTGCACGGGAGTCAACCCCTCTGTCCTTGCAGGAATTTCCGGTACATTCGTTGGAAAATTAAAAGTTGCCGAAGGCCCACGTAAACATAAAACAGCAGCATCATAGGCTCTTGCTGCTTCCTGTGCAGTATCATATGAACCTAACCATATTCTATTTCTGCTGTTTGGTTGTCTTATTTCTGCTACCCATTTTCCCCACTTTCTCATCCTCACTCCCTTGTAACGCCCGCTATCATCTCTTCTCTCCCTTCTTTCTCTCACCATTTTTTTTTCCCCCGATCAAGGCTGGTTTTCTTCTATTTTGCTAAGAAGAGAGACGGTATTTGCTTATAAATAAGGTTACTGTGTACGAAGGGAAATAGGAAACGGAATGACGAAGAGGTGTGTGATTGCCACGTGGAATGATGTTCTGAGGATGATTGAGATGGGGGCATGAAGAGTTGAAAGGTGGAGAATTTGGCACCGTTGGATTTGGATTAGATATTCTTTTGGGAGCTTACACGTTGTGGAGATTATCATGGTGGAAAAGTAACACGTGGTGATACTTGATGAAGCTGCCCTTGCACCTGTATTTGATAGTTATCGACTAAGCACTTTCTAGAAGGTAAATTATGTTCTTCATCTGTTCCAAATTTTTTGACGGCAGGCTCTTAAGCCCATACACAGACGGGGGCCGCTGCACGCTAAAGCCAACATATCATTGGGTCCCTAAAGTTAAAAACGTTTACGAATAAGTCCCGAAGCACAAGAAAAGTTAACTCTTCTTTTATTTGCCTTTTGCCCTTGCAGCACAAGTAGATAAATATAGTTTAACAGTTGTATTTTCCGTAATTTTTTTCAATTAAAATTTTTACTTTTAATAATTTTAATTTATTTAATTATTGTGTGATTGGAAAAAGCTATTCTCATTATATAATTTCAAATCTAATAAACTTTTTGATGAACAAAAAAAATAAAGTACAATAAATAAAAAGACGTTTTCAGCTGATGCACAATACCATATTTTAGTACTTAATTGGAATCTGATCATGTGGTGAATACTCTAATTGGAATTGACAATTAAGTAAGCTCCAATTGCCAAAATAAATAAATAAATAAATAATTATAATGAACCATGTGGTGAATTTTTTTTTTTTTTTTTTTTGCCTTTAAAGATTACAAAACTTAAACCATATAAATTATAATGAACCATCTAGTTGGGAGTGGGAGTCCCCATTAGAATAAAATTTTGTCACTAATTTATTAATTAAAATTGATAATTTATAAAATTCATTTGAAATAAAGACAAGATGCAAGAGCAATAATAGTTGAAAATAATAAATGACATACGACTTTTGTGAGAAATTATTCGGACACTCCCCGTCTTTACCAATATGGTTATCTTTTTGAAAAATTCTAAATTGTTGTTTTGTAATCGAAATATAGTAATATGAATGAAAATAAAAAAAAATTCAAAATAATAATATTTTTTTTTTATTAACTACTTCTACCTCCATAGCAACAATCACCACCACCTACACCACTACCACCACCACCTACACCACTACCACCATTATCACTACTACCGGGACCATCGCCACCATCAATTTTATTATGTTTATAATCATTTTAGTTTGATAAAATTATTTTTTAACTATTATTTTTATTTATAAAAAAAAATCATATATTAAAAAAATTAAATTACATTATGATTTCTTATTGGTATTTCAAACACGGTGTCGCTACTCGTCGAATTTGGTCTTAAATGTGGAGTAAATCGACACTTTAATTTGTAACCAAGTATTTCGTGAAGAAATAATAAAGGGTTCGATGTTGCCTAGTAAACCACTAGGACTTTTACATGGTTGTTCGATTTGAATGATAAAAATGAAAATAAAGGAGAATGTTGTTAATCGAAAGAAACAAACATTCGATGAGACAAACCGAGATATAAACATTATAAATTGAAAGATATAACACTTACATCAACGATCTTGGATGGTGTTAAAGCCATTTGGTAATACTTGAAATGGAAAATCCTATGTTACCGAAAAGCAAGATAAACACTATCGCTCTACTTTGCGGGAAAGTAAAGCCTATTCTAAAGAAAACATAATAAAAGTAATCTTCGGAGAAATCTTGTTATTTTTCTATTGATCTTCCTTCTCTTTCTTTTAAACCGTCGTTAGTTGACAATTATCTAGAGTTTCAAATTTGAGTTTGAACGGTTATCGGGTTTTATCTTCCTCTTTGTCCGTCGACATTAGTTGGTTTGTGAAACTAAACAAAATCTCTCGTTTCATCGATATTAGTTGGTTTATGAAACCCAACGTATTATTTCATTTAAGATTCTAAAATCTTTGTTTCGTCAATATTGGTTGATTTGTAAAACCAAGCGCAATGTTTCATTTAATATTCTCAAATCCCTATTTCGTCGATATTGGTTGGCTTGTGAAACCAAACGCATCGTTTCATTTAAGATGTTCAAATCTCTATTCGTCGATATTGCTTGGTTTATGAAACCAAACGTATCGTTTCATTAAGATTCTTAAATTTTTGTTCGTCGATATTGATAGGTTTGTGAAACCAAACAAATCGTTTCATTAAGATTCTTAAATTTACGTTCATCGATATTGATTGGTTTGTAAAACCAACGCATCGTTTCATTAAGATTTTAAAAATGCATGATTCGATTGAGGTGCGACGTTTTGGTATGTAATATCGATTCCAATCGACACGTGGCTTTTAAAATTTATGTATGCCAACACATGCCTTATTTTAGTCCTTTAAAGATGAAACGATGAGTTTCTTCTCCGATGGATAGATCATTAATCGCTTATAAGACGTGATGAGACCATGCGACTCCTCAACTTTCTAAAAGTGGTTACTTTATGTAGCAATCCGATGTTTCATTTTGCCAAATCTGAATTATTGAGTTTAAAAGTGAAATCATTGTGACTTTTGAATGTATGTGATATAAAACAAAGCCGACTCTATAATTTTACACTCTTTATGATTTCGTTTACTTTCCGTAAAAAGTTTTTCAAAACTCTTTCTCCCTTTTGTTGAAAACCTTCATTGGTTTGGAATTTCTTTCCATTCCATTAGAATGGCTTTTAAAAGAAATCCAAAATCTTCTAAGAAGTCACGTACGGACTAGAGTATCTTCTTTAACTGATCGTCATAGATTATAAAAGCTCTTTATTCAACCCAATGTGATCGATACTTGTCCTATTCGGACCATTACTAACAACCAAGTTGTCGATGTCTTAATAGGGTTTAAGAAAAACCCCAAGAGGAGTCCTTATCTAACCCTAAGGCCTATAGTCAATGCCGATGTAGTGCCTCTATCGGAGATGATCGATTCAGCTTACCTAAGAACTATCGATGCTAGCATAATCTTTGAACCTACATCTTATTCCACCCTCCGAAATTAGACCTGCATCGCTAAAGCATTTCCAGCGATTTGGCTAAAATCGAATGCCAAGTATGAGGCTTGGGTGAACAAGAGGCTTCTTCCTCGATTGAGAAAAAATGGGCAACAATGGGGATCCGTGAAGCCATCATATTGTTGACTCATCAATATTTTCCTAACCCTAGTTTGGTCATAGCTTTGGTTTCTTTCTAGAACCATGCATCAACTAATTCCAATTCCCGTAAAGCCATATGTCAATGACTCGTTAGATGTCATAGCCATTACTCGTTTATACTCTTCCGGCCAAACTTTGGCCTTTAGAGCAAATAATGCGGACCTCGAGGTCTAAGAAAAAAGGTTCCCAACAATGTATGGCTAGCTGGTTGATCGATATCGGGATGAAAAAATGATATCTCATCATAAAGAGATTGATTTTTACTTGTTGTAGATTTACAAGTATATCGTGGGTTCCAAATCGAAAAAACCAATCAAGGTATTTTTATCCTAGGCTATCAATATGGCTGCATTCGATGGGATCGAACCAATGGCTATGGGCTCAATTCTCCTTACATGTACATATGCGGGACTTCACGATGCTTCGATCAAAAGGTTTAAAACCTTATCCTCGTCCCCTTTGGTTTATCCGGATATGGGGTGAATTCTATTTCCCTTAATCTTTCCGTGCATTTGTTATAGAATTCCTTATCGATATGATCCTCATCATCTTTCAAGCTCTCTTTAATACATGGTCTTTTCAAGGCCTTCTTGGCATGAGAGGATGATTCTAGTTTATGTTTATCATGAATTGTCATTTTTTGGCAATTTGACCAGTCTTGGCCTCGTTTATAGGCTAAAGTACCCTTCTTGAAGCTAAAATTTTGCTTGTCCGATTGTTTTTTGACTTTATCAACATATGATTCTAGATCCGAGTAAGTTAGTCATAATCTTTATGACTCGTTCAAGAAGTTCATGAAATTATGGCACTTGTCCGTGGTGTGAAGACTAGTAATGTGCCACTTGCAATAGTGGTCAAACTCCGGATCTTTAAAATGAGAAAATCTCAATGCTTCTTTTTACCCAGTCGGTTGAAAACTCGCTTAGCCACCTTGGTAGCTTTTGTTATAGGAAGCGACTCTTACAATTCGGACATGTCAAAAATATCCAAAGTCGGGACCTTAATAATTTCATGAAATGGACTCGTTATCTACTTCCATAACTTCTTCTTTTTTAGAAAAAATTAATTATTTTAACTTTATTAAGTCTTGAATTAAATTCCTAAATAAGATATAATTGTTGGTAAAATGGGATGTAGTACTATGCCATTTATAAAACTTTCTTTTTTCATTTCTTCGGAGTAAGCGAGTTTGTGTTTCCTTTGATCTTAATCTTATTATTGGCTAAAAGCCAATCAAAGATTAAATTGGCCTTGTCCAAATCAAAAGAATATTTACGATCTTCTTTAGACTTGAAGCTTGCAAGGGTTTGTACATTCTTTCTAGCCAATTATTTACATACTATTGGCTTTTCTTTAATATATTCTACAAAATCAACATCAACCATGGTAAGATCTTAATAATATGTTTCGACCATAATATTTCTTCACGAGTGATTCTTCTCAATGAATTGCTTCAAATCCGGAAGCCTTTTCCGTCAACTCATATAGATTTTAGAAGACCATACCTTCGAACTTCTTTCCGAATTCAAAATCGAAACCATCTTGAGCGAAACGTAAGAATTCACTTTCGGGTAGATGACTTGGCATCGAACCCTAGCTCTCCTAAACCTTGTCGGGAATTATTCTACCGATTCACCTTGAAACCGTTTCAACCTCGGCTAATTCTACCACCGAAACCCCGAGATCAGCTCTTGA